GAAGAGCCAGTGACTGTAATATTTGATGCATTCTCTGTGCTGAGCCCAGGGCTAAGCACTGGGATTTAATCCTCACAACTTTATGAAGTAGCAGATATTACTACCCACTTTTAACAGATGAGAAAACCAAGACACAGAGAAGTGGTTTCCTGAACTCACTAGCAGGGGGAGTGCAGTTCTGGATGAGAACGATGAGAGTCTCCCCTTGGGGTGGGGGACAGAAAGCGGAGGACTCCGTGGGGACCCCAGGAGGTGAGGAGGCACCTGCCCCTAACATGCTGGTGCGCTCAAGGAAACAAGTGGAAAGCGCGAGTGTCAAGGAGGTGAGTACCCTGGAAGCTTGTCCAGGGGCTGGTCTGCCTAAAGGCGCTCCCTGTCGGAAGCGTGGGTGTCTTCTACTTGCCAGAAATAGAATGAGTTAGAATGTGGGAATATCTTTTAAAATGTTTAAAAAAAACCCCAAATGGACAGACTTATGAAAACATATGCAACTGTGATATGTGATTTACACATAAGTCTTCAAAATTTACACCTGTGCTGTATTTGTGACCAAAAGTGACTTTACTGTAAATTGCTGCAGACATTTAAAAGCCATTCCTATTACTATTGGATGGCAATTCTTTAGATATGCTTCATCTTGGGAACTAAAGACAATGAGGGTCAGAATTGTGTTCTATGTATTCTGTTTGGTTAAATTCAGAGGATAGACAGACTTTGAAATCAGATTAACTGTTTCAAAAACACATGGTAAAAGAATAAATACAACAGTCCCTAAATAATTAAGATTTCTCTTGGCTTTTTCCAGTATTCTACAACTGATTGAACTTTTATAATTAACTATATGAACTGATAGTGAAAAGAATTAAAATACACATGCTTTTCCAGTTTATTACTAAATAAGAAAAAGAAAAAAAACAAAGGCTATACTTGATCTTTTTTTGTCCAAATAAAACACAACAGTCTTTGGAGAAAACACTGATGAAAAGAGTAACATCAGTAAAACCTTAGACCCGCAACACAGTCCAAATATTTTTAGGTAGGTTTTAAGATTACACTTTGGTTTAAAACATACACCTCGACAATTTATCACTATAGCACAAAAATAGGAGGATACGCAAACTCTCCCCCTACAGAAAGCCATGTAGCAAAGGCTTTCAGAGACCATCCATCTGCAGCACTTACTACACTGCTTAATACAAAGGCCTCACTTGCATAAAAGGACTGGTTTCTACTTTGCTAAATCTAAAGGCATTCAAGACGAGGGATACTCCTACATTGTTGGTAGGAATGTAAATTGGTACTGCCAATTTATGGAGGTTCCTTAAAAAACTAAAAATAGAGCTACCATATGATCCAGCAATCCCACTCCTGGGCATATATCCGGAGAAAACTCTATTTTGAAAAGACACATGCACCCAATGTTCACAGCAGCACTATACACAATAGCCAAGACATGGAAGCAACCTAAATGTCCATCAACAGATGAATGGATAAAGACGATGTGGTACATATATACAATGGGATATTACTCAGCCATAAAAAAGAATGAAATAATGCCATTAGCAGCAACATGGATGGACCTAGAGATTATCATATTAAGTGAAGTAAACCAGAAAAAGACAAGAAACATATGATAGCGCTTATATGTGAAATCTAAGAAATGATACAAATGAACTTATTTACAAAACAGAAACAAACTCACAGACACAGAAAAACAAACTGATGGTTACCAACGGGGAAGGAGGGGTGAGGGATAAATTAGGAGTTTGAGATTAACCTATACATACTACTATATATAAAATAGATAAACAACAAGGTCCTACTGTATAGCACAGGGAACTATACTCAATATCCTATAATAAACCATAATGAAAAAGTATATACATATATATATATATCTCTGAATCATTTTGCTGCATACCTGAAACTAACACAACCTTGCAAATCAACTATACTTCAATTAAAAAATATACAAATAAATATCAAAATTATTATGTTGAGTAAAAGAAGCCAAACACAAGACTATCTCTATGATATCTAATTCTTTCACTCAACATAATGATGTATATAATTATCATATATATGACATATATGAAATATATATGATATATACAGTGGTACTTTTGTTTCAGTAGCCCTAAGAAACTAATACACATGACAATATGTGTTTCTCAAAACTCATGAAACTATACACTTAAAATGGATGATGCTTATTCTATGTAAATTGTATCTCAATAGACCTGATTAAAAACAAGGGCATTAGAGGAAAAAAAAAAGACTGAGGGGTAAAAGAAGACTTACAGATGGCCAACAGGTATATGAAAAGAACTCAACATCACTAATCATCAGGGAAACGCAAATCAGTACCACAATAAGATATCACCTCACACCTGTTAGAATGGCTATTATTAAAAAGTGAGAGAGAAGTGTTGGCCAGAATGTGGAGAAAAGGGAACCCTCCTAAACTGTTCGTGGGAATGTAAATTGGTGCAGCCACTATGGAGAACAGTATGGAGGTTCCTCAAAATATAAAAAATAAAACTACCATATGATCCTGCGATCCCACTCCTGGGCAAACATCCCTAGAAAACTATAATTCGAAAAGCTGCATGCATGCCTATGTTCACAGCAGCACTATTTACAGTAGATAAGACATGGAGACAATCTAAGCATCCACTGACAGATGAAGGGGTAAAGAAGATGTGATGTGATATATATATCACACACACATTGGAATAATATTCAGCCATAAAAAGAACAAAATCTAGCCATTTGTGACAACATGGATGGCTCTTGAGGGCATTATGTTTAGTGAAATAAGTGAGACAGCGAAAGACAAATACTGTATGATTTCACTTACGTGGGACCCCTGAACTCGCAGAAACACAGTAGATTGGTGGTTGTGCAGGTGTGGGTGGAGGAAATGGGTGAAGGTGGTCAAAGTGTACAAGCTCCCAGTTATAAGACAAATGAGTTCTGAGGCTCTAATGTGCAGCATGGTGCCTATAGCTGACAGTACTGAACTGCCCACTTGACCATTTTGCTGAAAGAGTAGATCCTAGGAGTTCTCACCACACACACGCACACACACCACACACACACGCACACACACCACACACACAATGGCAACCATGTGAGGTGATGAACTGTTAACTAACTTCACTGTGGTAGTCATTTTGCAATACGTATGTATATAAAATTGTCACGTTACACACTTTAAATTTCCCAATATCGTATGTCAATTATATCTCAATAAAGATGGCAAAATAAAAAAGATGAGCGATGTGTAAAACGTCTACATTTTTATCTGCTCACATGCACTCTAGTTACCGAACTCTGGTCAGTTGTCCACTGCTCAGGAAGTTTTAAAAATCATGATATTAACCAGCTTTTGGCTTTTGAATAATGTGAGTTTCTCTGGATTATTTAGAAACTCATTAGCAGTGACTGAATTTATATTTCAGAGATTTGGAGGATGTAAACCTCATATTTTGGATTCTTGACCTGGTTATAAAAGAAACCTTTTTACAAGATTTTTAATGCTTGATTTACTCATAATATATACCATTGGTCATGCAGTAAATCCAGTTTTTCATGCTCCCAGGTCTAAAAATCAGATTTATATTTTCGATCTAAAATTCCTAGCTGTAGTTCTGTATATGTACCCCAAAGCCAGCTCTGCCTTAGACCTTGGCTCAGACCATTTGTTGTTATCAAAGGGGTGCATGAGGCTAAAAGCCCACTTGCTACCCGAATGGAACCTTGTAAATGGAACAAATCCCCAGTGGGCTCTTCGGTCTATCTGTTTTCTATCTTGGGTTTCAACATAGTAACCTTGACATTAGCAATATACCGCTGAGCACGATTTGTATGGAGAGGAATTGGGACAGATTTGTTCCAGGTTCAAAAGTGATTTCTCCCTGTCACAGGGTAGAAACTTGATGAAGTCTTGGCACTCTAAGCACAAACCAGCCACTGCGAGCACAGGGGAAAGAGCAGCTGCCCAGGTTGTACGGGCTCACATCCTTCACTTCCCACCTTCAAGGTAAGAATACTTTTCTTGTATTAAATGCTCGCTGCTGTGCATAACCAATTTCTATTTATTAAGGCACATGGCCATCTTACCCCACCCACTCGTTCTCTCTTTTCCTCTCTAGTCAAGCAGGTTTTATGGAAAAAAGTGAGTTGTTCCAATTTATAGTTCATTCAGACAGTCCTGAGACTGTCAAGTTTGATTTTTGGGACCGAGTGAGTGGGTCAAAATGGATGTAAATGAACCAAACTTTCAATCAGATGTGATTTGAGTATACAGCGCTATAGTTCAGTTGTAATAGAAAGTATAAGAGTTTAAAAGGCCCAGAATAATTCAGACTAAAATATCTTGGGGTATTTTTCCATTTTAAAATGAACTGAGCAATTCTCTGTGGTTGAGGATTGACAGCATAATGGAAACAGAGCAAACTGCAGAACTTCTCACCAGGTAACTTCATTAGCAGCAAAATTCATAATGCAGTCTGCTGGCTGAAAAGAGCATGAAGCCTTCTGTTTTCTTAGGAGGTGCCTGCCATATGCTCATGGTTCTTGGCCGACTATACATAGTTACTGCTAAATTGTGGTTATTGGAAAACACTCTCTACCCTGTAACTTTTAGCAATATTGTAAGAGATCTCAGAGATGCTGATTCTTCTTGTAATTTATTACCATAGAGAAACATAATTAAACCTGCTTCCAAGTATTGCCTTCTACTTACGATGCAACTATAACACATGATACTGCTAAGTAATAGCAATCTAGAATATTTCTATGTATTCTTGGGGATTGACTAAAGGTTAAAACGGCAGGCAAATGTTTCAGTGACCTTTGAAACTTTTATACTTCACAGAAGCTCTCTTTTTTCTAGAGATAACTTTTCGTGGGACAAAATGCATTGCATAAATATTATAGACAATTCTTGTATTATGTAAACTTTATGTACAATTTTGTTCATATGTTTCACTTACCAGAATCAAGAGGCAACTTGAGGCCAACTTTGTGTGCTCGGGGATGGTGGAAAACACTGACAAAATCAAGCAACCAAAGACAAGGAGAAAACTGTAAAACAACAGAAAAAGAGAAATTTGATGAGAAACTTGCCTTAGCATGACAGACTTAAGTTCTTATTTCTAATGGCTAAAGCACCAGATCCATTTGAATTGGCACTGATTAAATCATAACAGACCTAAAAGGGACTAGCCATTTTGAATATCAAAATACAATGTGATGTCCAGTGCAAATGGGGCTCCTTTGCAACTTTACTGATGAGAAGGATGAATGTGTGTGTGCATGTGTATGTATGCGTGTGTGTTGCGTGCTGTACTTAAATGTCCACAGCTAAGAATCTGCAAATTTCCTATAAAGGGCTTTTCCAAGCAGGGGTCCTGAAAGGCCCAGATGTGTTTTGTTCTCCTGTTCGGGACCATAAGTGGTAGCTGCTCTCCTGTCAAAGGAGCAGACTCATGCCCCCGTTCGGCAGCTTTGGTGAACTGTCAAGGGTTCTAAGTGCTTACTAAGCCACTGGCTCCTTTTCAGAGTCTAATGTTGCTCCTGGTTTCTCATCTGCCATTTCTTTATAGTAATAATAAGAATAAAAAATGACTTCCTCTGCTACCCATGTGCTTTCCATTCCCTTCCGGTCAAACCCCTAGAGAAATGCCCCCAGCCCTACTTGTGCTGCAGTGACAGAGAGCATTTTCTACTAGTCCATCTACAGACATTTTTATTTCTAGAAATACGGAACTTCTGGAGTCCGGTGGGGGGGTGGAGCCGAGTTCCCAAAGTAAACGTCTAATAAAAAGGGCAGGCTCAGTTTTAAAGTTGAAGTTACTTATCCTGGAATTCAAAAAAAAAAAAAAAAAAAATCCCAATATCTGAGCTATTTTCCCTAAAAGTCACATTTCTTACTTTTACTCACATCGTACCCATCTCACCTTTTACTCTACAATCTCCTGTAAAACATCAGCTCTGTGTTCTTTAGTACAGCTGGCCTCTGCCTCCTCTTGACCTGCCCTGATGAATCTGCACGTCTTTCTACCACCAAGGGCTGATAGCCAGGGATTGGTGACTTATGGCCCGGGGACAAATCTGGCCAATAAAGTGTTTTTTTTTTTTTTTTTTTTTTTGGTACGCGGGCCTCTCACCGTTGTGGCCTCTCCCGTTGCGGAGCATAGGCTCCGGACGCGCAGGCTCAGCGGCCATGGCTCACGGGCCCAGCTCTTCCGCGGCATGTGGGATCTTCCCGGACCGGGGCACGAACCCGCGTCCCCAGCATCGGCAGGCGGACTCTCAACCACTGCGCCACCAGGGAAGCCCAAGACCAATAAAGTTTTATTGGCACACAGCCACACCCATTCACCCGTGTATTCCCTATGGCTGCGCTCACACAAGAACTGCAGAACTGAGACTCGTGCTCTAAGCACAAGACTGAAATATTTACTCTCTGGCCTTTAGAGGAAAGTTTGCTGACTCCTGATTGATACCATGTATTCCTTATTTCTTTATATCTATTTCAGCACAGAACCCGAAGTGGGTATGCTGATAATTACATTCGGAGGTTTCGTATAAGCGAGATACTGAGCTAAGCCACTTTCACATGCACTATCCACGTTATCCTCTCAAATGTATGCAGTAGAAATCTCATTGTTCCCATTTTGCAGATATGGAAACTGAGAATTAAGAACATATTGTGACTCATCCCTGGCTGCTTGGCACGAAGAGGGGTTCAAGCACTGTTGTCCTTGAGTTGCCACATGGTGTCGCTGAGGAGCACAGAGGAGGACGGCAGTGATGTTCTTGGCTCAGCAAGACTTCTGGGGGTACTTCTCTATCTCTTCCAACTGAGAGGGAGGTGGTTATTCTGAACAGCTGAAGCCTTCAGGAGGAAGGACTCTACTAGGGAGAAAACCTGGTACGTGAATTAATAACAACTCATCATACTTTTGTCTCATGTACCTGATGATTCAGGATTGTTTGGACTATATTTTAAATTGGCCCTAGCAGACTGGGAATTGTAAACTAGACATCAAATTCCAGCGCACCTACAGACCCCGGAACTACTCACGAGAAAGTGAAATCCAGGGATCACTGAGGGAGTTTGGAGGATGACGTGGCAACAAGTAAAGAGTGACAGATGTTTGCCTCCAGTGAGGGGCTGTTATCTGTAGACGCCTCCTGAGTCCAGGTTCAGCAGAAAACATTCAGAGAAGCAAGCAGGGGATGACTCAGTCACTAAGACACCTTCTTCCAAGGGCATCCCAATGGCAGCCTCATGATCTCCGTGTTTGCTCAAAACAGACCTACAGGGGCTTCCCTGGTGGCACAGTGGTTGAGAGTCTGCCTGCTAATGTAGGGGACACGGGTTCGAGCCCTAGTCTGGGAGGATCCCACATGCCGTGGAGCAACTGGGCCCGTGAGCCACAACTACTGAGCCTGCACGTCTGGAGCCTGTGCTCCGCAACAAGAGAGGCTGCGATGGTGAGAGGCCCGTGCACCATGATGAAGAGTGGCCCCTGCTCGCCACAATTGGAGAAAGCCCTCGCACAGAAACGAAGACCCAAACAGCCCTAAATAAATAAATTAATTTTAAAAAAAGTAAATCCTATTTAAAAACAAAAAGCAAAAACAAAATAACCCAAAAAGACCTACATCACGAGCCCTTTTGCTAGCGGCTTCTTCATTAACAGCTGGGTGTTGCTTAATCTTTTCCCTTCATGTCACTACTTTGCCCATTTTCTTCCTTGAGCTGATCTTACCCTCCCCTTTCTGATAAGAGTAGTTTCTGTGCTAGAATTCTGTTATTTCTATGAGGACCCACCTGACTACAGCAAGCCAAATACCTGCACTGCCCTGGCTGCCTGAGGGGCTTTGATGAACAAATACAATCATTAATGAATTCCTTCCTTTCCTCAACCATTCATCCACTTGTCCAATCAGCAAATATTGATTAAGCATATAATACCAGGCTGAGCCACAGGGATATAACAATAAATAAGATTTTCTTTTCTTGCCTTCTCAGAGTTCAGGATCTGTTGAGGCATACAGGGTAGTAAACAGATGTAAAAAGAAAATTAAAGTTCTGTGTGATGATTCCAAGGACAGAGAAGGTACAGGGGACGCCAGGAGCACACAAGAGGGGAGGGATTAGGCAGGACTGGTTACTTCGCTTGTGGAGTTGAGTGCAAAGTGAAAACGTGAGGGCCCTTTTTTCAAAAAGTATTAAGAATTTCAAGATGGTGACAGCAGAGCATGACACCAAGTGTGGCACCTTTCAAAGTTCTGGGTTCCATAGGACTGCACAGGTGGAATGTCCACGAAGCCCAACTTGGGGTTTGGGAAGACTTCCTGAAGCACATATGGACCAAAATGAGCCCTGAAGGCCCAGGAGGAGTTGGTCAGCACAACGGCTGGGTGGCTGGGGAGAAGGACACTCTAGAGGCCATTCACCCGTGTGGGTGAAGGCCAGGTGCAAGTACAGTGTCACCAAAATTCACTAAGTAATCAACAGGGTAGAGTGAGTGAACACCTGCTAGCTAGCTTATCCTCTGGTGGTTCATGAAAAACGTAAGGCAGGTCATTCCTGCAAGTTCATTTTTTGCATAGGAATCATCTTGGTTCCACTGAAAACATGTCCGCAAAAGATGTCATGCCAAGCACAACTGAGGGATGAGCGTAAATCAAAGCAGCCCCTACCTGTAAGGAACCAGTGCCGTGTGTGAGGTGAACACACAGGGTCATCACAAAGGGTAGAGACAGACGTGCTAGGAGAAATGCCCCAGTGCCTGAAAGTGGGGAGGGGTTCTCTTCAGTTGGGAATCATGGAAGCACATCAAGACAATCTCCAAATATGGGTGTTGCTGGAGCTGGTCTTTGAAGGAACGGTTGGGTTTCAACAAGAGAAGTTTCTGGAGAAACACATTCCAGAAAGAGGGTATCACAGGAGAAAGGCAACACGGCAGAATATGAATGAGATAAAGTATTTGCTCCCTGTTTCATGGAACAAAAAGTTATCGAGCTTAACTGTAGCACAGGATGAGACAGGTGGCTGAATTGGGAGTCCGGGGCCATGGTGGGTAAGTCAGGGTCTGTCCTTAGTTCAGGAGACAGTGGGAACCACTGAACATTTTTGAACAGGAAGCTAATATCATCAGAGTTGCTCTGCGGGAAAATAAGTCGGCAGGCGTGTGTGTTAGGATGTCTCTGAGTACCTGAGAAGCAGGGTTGGGAGTGATGGTGACCAGATTATGTTGTGAACTCACTGGCAGAAATGAGGGTAGGACACAGAGGCAGACTGGATGCTGTGAACACAGGAGCTTCCTGACTTGGTAACTCTTGGGCTCAGGGGTAGAGGCTGGGAAGGGAGGGGGTGCTGAGAAGTCTGAGGTGTCTGTCCATAGTTACTGGTGATGCTCTTAACAAGCCAGGAGAGGAAAAGTCAGGAGAGTGAGGAGGAAAAACCGATTTTGAGGAGAAGAGGACAAATCCAGTCTTGGACATCCACGTGGAATTGTGCGTCTGAAACTTGGGCGCAAAGTCTGGCTGGAATATGGAAGTGCTTTTCTCCTGGAGGAAGTGAATGTGTAGACCGAACATAGAAGAAAGTGCAGACGGAGCACAGAAGGTTTGGGTAAGTGGCACAAAGGATATCTGGGGACACTTCCTCATCTTGGAGAGTGACACCATGGGAAAGGACGGACTCACGCTGCTGTGAAGTGGCTCTTGGTGGCCCTGTCAGAGACAGACTCCCTGGCTGGAGAAGCACTTGGCTGACAGCGTCATCTCTGAGGGGACAGCCTGCACCGCTGGGTCTGAGTGTGGCTCTGCTGATCTCCCTGCTCCTGAGGGGCCCACACCTGTGTGCATGCTCTCAATGCCCCCTCTCCACCTGTCTGTGGGCTGAACAGAAGTGGTAGCAGAGGCAACAATCACTGGACAAGGGGTGTCTTAATCCAGGGCCCACGGGCCTCCAAGAGGTCTGCAGATAGAATTTTGAGGGGCTGTGAAAGTGGATGGGGAAAAATTACGTCTTTGTCACGAACCATGGCAAAAACCATGATGGC